AAATGGTAGAACACTAGCCTTGAGCTGAAGAGCTCAGGGACAGATCCCAGGCCCTAAACTGAAGCCCCAGGACCAGCATAAATAAACAAACAAACAAATAAAATCAGCAATGAAAGGAGCAGAGGCATGGGTAAAGTGGTACAATAAGGTCATTAGTTCAAACCCAGTACTGAAAATAAAGAAAAAAGTGAAAGAAATGCCATTTGAAAGATAAAGACTCCAAGGTACAACATTGAGACTCCAGAGCTTGAATTTAGGGCCTCTTGCTCCCATTTGGCTTTTTCACTCAAGGCTTGCATGCTACCACTTGGCCATACCTCTGCTTCCAGCTTTTTGCTGGTTAACTGGAGCTAAGAATCTCTTGGACTTATCTGCCCAGACTTGTTTTGGACCTTGATCATCATATCTCAGGCTCCTGCATAAGCCTGTGAGCCACCAGCACCCAGCTAAATCTCTCCTTGATAGAGAATTATGGGAGGAAGCTATAGCAGAGGCCAAAGAAAGAGTCCCCTCTGCCTTAGTTCAATCATCAGTCAAGTAGAGGAGCGTAGAAGCGAGGAGGAACTGGAAGAAAAGCAGATGCTCTACCAACCAGGGAAGATTACATAGGCATGAGCCAGTAAAGAGCTGATGAGTGTACCATTGCTCTCCTAAAATAGCTCTCAGCCCAGGTGCCATGCTCCACACCTATAACCCGAGCTACTCAGGAGGATCAGATCTGAGGATCGTGGTTGGAGGCCAGCCAGGCAGGAAAGCGGATATGAATCTTATCTCCAATTGACCACCAAAATAGCCACAAGTGGCACTGTGGCTCAAGTGGTAGAGAGCTAGCCTTGAGCAAAAAAGCTTAGGGACAGTGCCCAGACTCTGAGTTCAAGCTCCAGGACTGGTGCATACAGACATATGCAAACACATACAGGAAGAGCTCATACCCAAGGCCTGAGTTCAGTGGCTCAAACCCATCATCCTAGATAGTTAAGAAGCAGAGATTAGGAGGATGCAGTTCAATGCCAGCCTGGGTAAAAAGCTCATAAGACCCCATCTCAATGGAAAAAGTTGGGCATGGTGGTGTGTCCTGTGATCCCAGCTACAGAGAGAAGCATGGATTAGAGGACTGTGGTTCCCGCTGGTCTGGACAAAAAGCAAGACACCACCTCAAAAACAAGCAGAACAAAAAGGGCTGGAGGAGTGAGTGGTTCTGCAATAGCCATGTATGAAGCTGTAAATTCAAACCCCACTAACACCTCCACAAAAGGGATCCTAGTTCCCTGTACTCCAGGTGTATCCAAGAGGCTTTAGCTGGCCTCCAACTCCCAATCTTCCTGCCTCCGCCTCCCACATCACTGGGCTTACAGGTGTTCATCACCACGCTCAGCTTCAGAAGATTCTTAAGTCCATCCCTACTCTAGCTGGAGCACAGAGTAACCTGAGCCTTGCACACCTCTGGTCACTAAAGAGTTTGGACTCTGCTTAAGGGCTGTCCACTTCCCTGACTTCAGGGTAAAAGCAAAAACAAAAGAAAAAAAAAAACCCACATATGTTAAACTGGATGGGAACTCCAAGGCCACCCCAGGGCATCAGTCAGCAGCGGAGAAGCAAATCACTGTTGCAGTCAGAGCAGAAAGGAGCTCCCTGGGGAAGCTATTAACAATTTAGTACGTGGGA